CCCCCCCCCCCCCCCCCCCCCCCCCCCCCCCCCCCCCCCCCCCCCCCCCCCCCCCCCCCCCCCCCCCCCCCCCCCCCCCCCCCCCCCCCCCCCCCCCCCCCCCCCCCCCCCCCCCCCCCCCCCCCCCCCCCCCCCCCCCCCCCCCCCCCCCCCCCCCCCCCCCCCCCCCCCCCCCCCCCCCCCCCCCCCCCCCCCCCCCCCCCCCCCCCCCCCCCCCCCCCCCCCCCCCCCCCCCCCCCCCCCCCCCCCCCCCCCCCCCCAACCTCCTTCTCACCTTATAATGTTATGTTAGATTACATATAAATATTTTTAGAATTATATTATCTTACTAACTAATTAAACAATAGAAGATAATAGTTTGTTTGACCAAGCTTTTGAAAGGTTGAAAATGTTTTTTTCCTTCAAAAAGTGAGGTATTTGATCAAACATTTGTGAGAAAATAAGTAATTGCGGGGAGTAATGAAAGCTATAAAAAAAAAATAGAAAAGCACTTCTTTGAAAAATTACTTTTGAGAAAAATACGTTTAGAAAATACTTCAAATTTTTTTGTCAAAAACTAATTCACCCAAAATGTGCCTTTTAAATTTATCGGTAGAAAACAAGTAGTTTTTTTCTCAAAAAATAATATTTTTTCTTCAAAATAAGCTGATTTTAAAAGTTTGATCAAATAGAGTATAAATAGAAAACTCACATTATTGTTATTATTATTGATTTTCCACATCGACTAAATTCAGATTAGAGGAAATCCCACCTTAGGTGGTGAAACACTCTCTAACAAATGTGGTTTTGTATCCTAGAGACGAACTCAAGACTTCTGATTAAGAATAAATGAATAATTATCCGTTATCACTCCGCCATAGTCCATAACCCTGATTGGTTTCACATTATTATTATTATTCAAGAAAACATAAATATCTTTCTTATTACCAAAACACACCCAAAATAAAAGCTATACTTGTGCTGAAATTGCTATATATTAGTGAAAAACATATCAAATGAAATATAGCAAAAGCGCGTTAAATTAGCAATACATCTCGGCAACACCACATAATCAAATAATTATTTGTTTTTTTTTATAAAAAAAACAACAACAATAAAATCTTTCATAATTGTACTAAAATCCCTATATATAGCTATCTTATTTGCCAGCAAATACCAACAAACTATCTATACTCAATATCATTCATCATTATTCTCACAATATTTATTTTTTTCATTTTCATTCAACAACTTCAAATCAACATTTGTTATTATTTCTTCCCAGATTATTTTTAAAAAAACTATAAACATCGATAAGTCGATAACTATGAAACTCTTATCGGAGATGGCTACGTGTGAATCACACGGACAAAATTCGTCGTATTTCCTAGGGTGGCAAGAGTACGAGAAAAACCCGTACGATGAAATTCAGAATCCAAAAGGAATAATACAAATGGGTCTCGCAGAAAATCAGGTAAACAATTTTTCTGATTTTATTATATATATTCTTCTTTTTTTCTTTTTTTTTTTACGATACATATGTATAATTTTTTTAATTTTATTTTTCGCGTTATGCAGCTTTCTTTCGATTTATTGGAGTCTTGGCTTGCCCAAAACCCAGACGCAGCTGGATTTAAGAGAAATGGAGAGTCTATATTTAGAGAACTTGCTTTATTTCAAGATTACCATGGCCTTCCTGACTTCAAAAATGTACGTTACATATCCACTTTAATTTATTTATATTTTTTTTTATTAATAATATTTTTACGTGTTGAGTACTTGTCAATTAGTTATAGAGTAATGTATGCGAATACCGTGATCTTTTCAGACTCTACTTATAAAATTATAGAGAAAAGTACTGAAAACACTCATAAACTCGACGTGAATTATTAGTTTCATTCCTCGAACTATTGACAACCTTAAAAATACCCCTTTACTTGTAACATGAGTGAAATACATCCCTTAAAACCCAGACGCAGCTCCTACGAGAGTTTGAGACCACTTGTTATATGTCTTATGGGGGATGTATCTAACTTCAGTTAGTTAAGTAGCTGAGTGTTTTTTAAGGCTGTCAATAATTTAGAAAACGAAACTAATAAATTGCTTTCAAGTTCAAAAACAAAAGTGTTTTCAGTATTTTTCTCTGAATTAAATTATATAGAATTTGTTGTTGTTAGTAGTTATTAAGTTATCATAATCTCACATTTTTATGTTTAAAAAATGTAGGCATTGGTTCAATTTATGTCTGAAATTAGAGGAAATAAAGTTACCTTTAATCCAAACAAGCTTGTCCTTACGGCCGGCGCTACTTCCGCAAATGAGACGCTCATGTTTTGCCTCGCCAACCCGGGCGACGCTTTTCTCCTTCCTACCCCTTACTACCCCGGGTACGTTACATTTTTTTTTATATTATCAGTGTATATAAGTTAAATTATTTTGATTACGTTACTTATGTTACATTTGTACGTATGCAGATTTGATCGAGACTTAAAATGGAGGACCGGGGCTGAAATAGTTCCAATACAATGTACAAGTTCAAATGGTTTTCGAATTACACAATCCGCTCTTGAAGAATCTTATAAATTAGCGAAAACTCGCAACCTTAGAGTTAAAGGGGTGCTAGTGACTAACCCATCGAACCCATTGGGCACGGCATTAACACGTAACGAACTCGAGCTACTTGTTAGCTTCGTTGCGGAAAAGGGGATTCATCTTATTAGCGATGAAATATATTCAGGCACGGTTTTTAACTCGCCTAAATTCGTTAGTGTTATGGAAGTATTAATCGAAAATAATTACATGTATACTGAAGTTTGGGACCGAGTTCATATTGTCTATAGCCTTTCGAAAGATTTAGGCCTTCCCGGTTTCCGAATCGGGGCGATTTACACGAACGACGAGGTTATTGTCTCCGCGGCTACAAAAATGTCGAGTTTTGGGTTAATTTCTTCGCAAACTCAATATCTTTTATCGGCTATGTTAGCCGATAAAAAGTTTACGAAGAAATACATCTCCGAAAATCAAAAGAGGCTCAAGAAAAGACATGCAATGTTAGTGAAAGGACTTGAGAGTACTGGAATTAGTTGTCTTGAGAGCAATGCCGGTTTATTTTGTTGGGTAGATATGAGACATTTATTAAAGACCAATACATTTGAGGCAGAAATTGAGCTATGGAAGAAAATAGTTTATGAAGTTAAGCTTAATATTTCGCCCGGATCGTCATGCCATTGTACTGAACCGGGTTGGTTTCGTGCATGTTTTGCGAACATGTCAGAAGATACATTGAATCTCGCGATTCAACGTATTAAAATTTTTGTTGATTCCTCTGATGTGATTGGTACCAATATTGACCAAAGTAATCAGACTAATCAGAATACAAGTACAAGTCTAAAGAAGAAGTTATTTGCCAAGTGGGGTTTTCGGCTATCATTCAACGACAGAGAACGATAGTCTGTGTGAACAGAAGGCTGATTCAGAATTCAAATTTGATATCGCCGATGTGAACATTCCCTTGTCCATGGTGATTTTTTATAACTCAATATTTTTAGAAATTGAGTTTTCAATTTTTATTTTTTTTATCAAAACTATACTTTTTTTGTGTGTTTTTAATGTAGAGAATGCACTCGGTCCATGTGATGGACGAGAAGTGTTTTTTCATTTTCATTATTTGTAAATGCACTCGGTCCATGTGATGGATGAGAAGTGTTTATTTCATATTTCATCATTATTTGTAAAAAAAAAAACATACTACAAAATATATGTGTGAAATCTTATTGAATTGTTCAAACTATAGCATTATTTCACAAGTTTTCTTGAATTATTCATCATTTGCATCATATGATATTGGTCCTATTTGATATATAAAACACTACATTGTTATATGATACACATTATTTATTTAGATTTCAGTTATCATTCTAAAATTAAAAGGGCATAAAATAATATTAAAAAATTATATGGCAAGTATACGAATTAATGGGAATAACATGCTACAATATGGATGCGGCGAAATTAACGGCAACACACCATGTCTTTTTTATATATATATATTCATTAATAGATTTGAATATTTTTTTAATATATATAATAGGAGGGGGAGAAAAGAAAAAGATCATATGGCTCGAGTTAAGACTTGTTCAACACAAAGAAACTCAAATCATAGTCGAATTTAAGACTGGTTCTGTGAATTAAACAAAAGTCATTGTCATTGGCTCGAGTTATTTACTATGTAAGAAAAAAAAAATTAAAATATAAATATAGCAAGATCACGTCATTTTGAATTCAATGATTCTAAAGGTGTGTTTGTGTAGAGGATTTTTTTTCATGTTTGATTAGTTAAATCTTTTGAAAAATACATTCATTATATTTTTGAAAGTGACTTTTTATGTACTATTTATTACCATTTTAGCAAATTTTTACGTATAAAATTATCTTTAGCAGGGAAAATACTAAGTTCAAATAAATCCATACCCTACATTCCCCTCTAGATTCATACGAATCATATATAATTAAAAAAAAATCTATTAAATAAATATAAATAATAAATTTCGAATGACTAATAAAACATTGACTCATTGAACTCATGAATATCACTATTTGTTCATTCTCACATATGATAACGTGATTCTCTAGTTCTAGACTTCTAGGCATTCCCATACTTGGCAAATTGAGGAATAAGTTAATAATTTGCTTTTGCTAGATAACTTCACCAACTACGTAAGTGGGTAAAGTTGGTTGCAAGTAATCTCAACTTTTTAATGCATTTGACTTTGTACCATTTCTAAATTTGGGCCTTCACTTGATATAATCAGACTCGTACCCACGATTTCGGAAGGATGATGTACTATTACGAAAAGATATATTTAAAATATAAATTTAATCAATTTGAATTTTTCGTTCTTAATGTTGAACTGTTAAATTTTAAAAATTATAAGTCCAACATAAATAATACTACTAGTTTTAAATTTTGATATGCACATTTGATTTAATTATATAAAATATTTACGGTGCTAATTTTTTTTTAGGAATTTCCAATATTGTAACGCACTTGTAATTTTTTAAAGATTAAAGAAAAAAAACAAAAGAAAAATTGATTGAAATGCCAAAAGTGTTACCGATAACCACTTGGAGGGGTGTTACTAAAAAAAAAAAAGATAGATATAAAATTTAAATTTCTATCTTTGCTTAGAGGTACACCCAATCATCATCATATTATTATATGTTACTTTTAATGTGGGTTCACAATTCTATATTTAAATATTTTTTAAAAAATATAACACTACTATATATGATTTAGAAAGAGGAGCATGGGCTCACGTGAACACACGGAACCCCCTCTAGATATGCCTTTGGATATGATAATATATTTGAGCGTTCATTAATTTGTATTTTTTTTTTATTCTTTATTCAAATTTCAGTGTTAAGTAATTTTTATTGAAATTGGTCGAAATTTGATTAAATCTCAATTCGTATTGAGGAGGAGACTTTTGAGTACTTATTGAATGAGTTTTACTAGTATTATTTTTAGTGATTAGTCAATAGTTCAGCTTAGCTAGCTTACTTTACGTTGTGGTCAATTTTTTATAATTAATTATTATTATTTTTCTTATTACGGTATTATACCGAACCATGTTATGTTTCATTATATATCATATTTAAATAAATATTAGACAGAACTAAAGACAAAGTTGACTTTTACTTCACAAACATGAGTTATTGTTGTTTGTTTGAATAAAATTTTAAAATTTACTGATTTAAAAAGGTTCTTTTTTTTTTAATTTGTTATTTGGTGATAAAATATGAGTTTTTTTTTTCAAAAAAATAAAATCTTTCTATCATTGTAACTATGTGTTGCCAAAACCGTTTTAATAGGTTGGTGCAATAATTAAGCATGAAAACAAATAATTTTCCCCGAATATAAATTAAATATTCGAGATCAGGCAATATTTTATACATATTCTTCAATATAATTATGATCCCAATTAAGAATTCTAACAAAATAAATCCCATTATGGGCAACATCAAAATGTATCATATTGATATTTAATATGAAGATATTTAACATATAAAATATATTTTCGTCATTTTAATTTGTCTGTCTTAATTTGACTATACATAAAATTTTAAAAGTAAAAAAACTTTTAATTTTAAATTTAAAACGTGTATAATATATCAAAATACCTTTTGATCTTATGGTCTTAAATATATCATGTGAAGTGTTTAAAATTAAGAATTGTCTGATCAAGAAAAAAAGTATTGTATTTTTTTTATTATAATCGATGAGGGTTGGTAGTAATTATAAAATTATTGAAATAATAAGATATAATGCAAGTAGGAATTTTAAAACTATTTACTTGATTATGTTGACTCTATGCATGTGCCAAACGAAATAAATTAAAATGCTTATTATTAAGCACCATATGATATGCTTTCCGTTATAATTATAACCAACCAAACATATAGTTCGTTACAATTTATTTATTTATTATTCAAATTATTTTAGTTGTGATTCATTTAGCTTATCTAATTCTGGACGGTTGTTAAATTCATAATTTAACATATAGTGATCACCATATAATATATGTGATGTTGTTTCTTTCTCTGAAAAATTAGATAATTAAGGTGTGCTCGGTCACAAAAAAATATATTTTCCATGAAAAATGCTCTTCAGAAAAATTAATGAATTTCTTACATAGTTTATTATATTATGTACAAAAAATATTATTTTAAAAATTATTTGTACATGATATAGATAAATACTATGGAAGGCAGGAGATGTGAATCACAAGAGTGGGGTGAAGATGAATTGTACTGGAGAGCAGGGAGGATACAATTAACGTGTAATATGTAATTTGTTGATATTGTTTTTTCTACTTCCACTTGAAAAATACTCATTGTTCTTACTTTTAAGGAGCTTGTTTTCTCGAAGAATGTATTTCAAAAATTTTGACCAATCGAACGTGAGAAAATTTAAAAACATTCCATACCAAACACACCCTAATTATCCCTTACTAGTTGACTAATTAAATTTTATGTTTAATTAAATCATCTAAGATAACGATAATTAACGATCGAGATCTCCCTGCTTTAACCTTTAATTTATAGTCAAATAATGTTTCATTTTTGGTTAGCAAAAGATATAGGCCTAAGACAAACTATTAATCAACAAAGATACTGAGAGTAATAAATTGAATTCACATGAAGACATAATGTTTAAACATTTTGGGACATAAATTACTTTAATTAGTACAATGTTGTTTCCAGTCAAAACATGGATTTCTAAGACCAGATTTGACACTTAAATATTTTAATTAGGCTGATAAAATGAACACCAAGATTAAAATTAGGTGACTCAGGCCACAAAAAAGACAATGTTAATTGTTTGTGTCCCTCACTAATGGGAAAATTGAGTTACATTATTGTTGTCTCTTACTTGTACGGTCTTGAGAAATCTTCACCTGATCATAAATAGTTTTTAAAGTTAAATTAGGTACAATATTAATTTTCTTATCATAACATTATTAGGGGTCGTTTGGTAGGCCACATTAAAATAAATAGTCCATGTATTATGTGTTGTATTATTTAGTACTATGTTTGGTAGGAATTTGGGCCTATGTAGTATGTATAACTAATCCATGGATTAGTTATACCTCCTACATGGTATTATAGGATGTATTACTAATACCTTCCATTTGGAGGTATTAGTTACATGGGATATAATACCACGGGATAAGTCTATATAAAGACAAAAAATATCCCTCAAATCATTTTTAATTATTTTTGTTTATTTATGCTTTATATTTGTACTAGTAAATTTATTTAAATAAATTAGCTTGCAAATTATTTAGAGAGAGTTGTTTGTTACTAAATAAATTCAATACAAATTAATACAATATATAAAATTGCATACATATTAAAACTACAACTTGCAATTTTTATGTATAAATGTAGATGGTTTATTCAATTTTACTATTGTTTACTTCCTTTTCAATTTTAAAAGTGATATATAATTTATATTTTTTAAATTGAAAATTGACATTTTGTAAGTGAACAATTTACTAAGATGATAATTATTTATCCTCAAATAATTTAAGTGGAAAAAAAGGCAAACATGGCAACAAAATTGTTCTTCTCATAGCTAGTTAGAAGGCCATAAAAAAATAATATTGTCTAGCAATTATTTACCTTAACTCAATTACATAATAATTCAAGGGTAAAATTGGAAAGAAGTTTTTTATAAAGTTTTAATCCAAACACAAGATGAGGTGGGAAATAATGAACCAAACACTTGATAAAAATAAACTCTGCATTACTAATCCCTGCATTATTAATCCTTTCATTACTAATCCCAGCATTATTAGTCTTTGTACCAAACAACCCCTATTCTTGATTTACAAAATATAATGTTGGGTCAGTATGTTAAATATTGTATTAATTGTTCACGCTCCCTA